ATGTATATATCCATATAAAATATTTTACTTTGTTTTTAATGGGTTTTTATAAGTACAGTTGGCCCTTAAACAACACGGGGTGTTTTTTAAGATTTTTTATTTATTTATTTATTTGAGAGAGAGAGAGCGAGCAGGGGGAGGAGCAGAGGGAGAGGAACAAGCAGACTCCCCGCTAAGCAGGGAGCCCAACGTGGGGCTTGATCCCATGACCCCGAGATCATGACCTGGGCCGAAACCAAGAGTCAGATGCTTAACCAATTTCCAGTTGAGCCACCCGGGCACCCCAACATGAGTTTGAATTGCATGGATCCACATATAAGCAGATTTTTTAATAAATACAGCGCAGTGCTATAAATGTGTTTTCCTTATGATTTTCTTAATACTTTTGTGTAGCTCACTTTATTATAAGAATACAGTATACAATACATATAATATATAAAATATGTGGCAATTGTTTATAACTTTTTGACTCTCCCCAAACTTAACTACTAATAGCTATTGTTGATTGGAAGCCTTACTCATCGATGCTTGGTGGTCTCAAGTATACTTGATATATTTTTGTGATTCTGTAAGGCTTCCAATCAACAATAGCTTCCAGTAAGGCTTCCAATCAACAATAGCTATTAGTAGTTAAGTTTGGGGAGAGTCAAAAAGTCATACACCGGTTTTTGACTGCATGGGGGTCAGCACCCCGAACCCCCATGCTGTTCCTGGGTCAACAATATATATATGATGTGATACTGGATGTATCATTCTGCAGCCTGCTTTTTTTCCCCACACCATAGGATGTCTTGGAAATATTTCCATGGGCTAACATAAAAATCTACCTCATTCTTCTGACCCGCCGGGTAGGATTCCAGTGAATGGACATACCACATTTTATTTAGCGATGATCCAGTTGAGGGAACTTTAGGTATTTTCCTGTTTCTCACTGGAATGATGGACATTCTTGCACAAGGCGATGTGCGGGTGTTTCTCTGGATCAGGAAGTGTAAATTCCTTGTGGCTGGGATTGCATCAGGGCCCAGGTCTCTCACCCAGGTCGAGGCATGGGAACCCTTCCTCTGTCTTTATAAGCAGGTCCTGCTCGGACCCCCCAGGATGATCACACTCGACCCTGAGGAGGCCAGAAGCACCCTAGGCTGTGAAAAGCCAGTATCCCACCTTCGAGGCCTGCCCCCCACGCAGGAAAATTGAGGGGCATAGGATCTTCCTCCCCCAGAGCTCCCTTCCTCGGCGCTGTCCCACTCCCCTCTTTGCCAGCCAGGCTCAGCGGGTAACTGGATCCAGGTCAGCTGGTAGAGTATGAGGTAGCGTCTAGCTGAGCGTCATGGTATTTTATTAAGTCCGAAATGTGATCGCTACTGTTGTCACACTTTAGCGCCCCCAACAATCCCCTTGCAAATGAGAAAACCAGAGCCTCCCACATGCCTTTCCCCTGACATCAGGGAAAGCACAGGGAACCCTGCCCAGGGGCCTGAGCCCGTGTGACCCCCAGAGCAGCTTTCGAGCTTGAGGCAAGGACTGGGGGGCACAGGCAGGTGTTTTTCCAATTTCAGCCAAAGCAATGGATGGGGGAGAAGTCTGCTACTAATTTTGTGTTCTCTGTGCCTGGGTCTTCAAAGTCAGCATTGGCTTTTAAAGACCGTTTTCATGAACAGACCAGGCTTGCTGGTTGAGGACCCTTCCATCTATGTAAGATTTCTGTGGCTCAGAGGGCTCCAACTAGTGTGCCCACTGGGGCCACGTAAGCAGGTAAGTGAAGGGAGGAAAGCCCAGACGGGAGCGTAGAGCCCTGGAAAGGGCTAAGGATGGTTGGGACAGAAGAATGCAAGCCCCACACTGCCAGAGCGTGTAAAGTCTCAGAGTAGCGAAAATCTGGAAAGACAGAGAGAGTGAGAACAAGCAGGGGCAGAGGGAGAGAAAGAGAGGTCCCCTGAGTTTCTGTATTGGCTACTGTTCCAAAAAAACGTTTCAAGTGTAGTGTGGGCTGAACAAGCTACGTCTCCAGGCCAGCTTGCAAGCTCTTCCCTAAGTGAGCTTATCAACACAGAAGAGTTCTCAGTCTGGTTCCTTTACCCCTCGAGAGCAGCACTGTCCACTAGAATTTTCTGTGATGATGGGAGTACGTGCACCACCTAATACAGCAGCCACGCTGAGCACTTGAAATAGACCTAAGGAACTAAATTTTTTATGCTGTTGAATTTAAATTTATTTAAATATAACTATCAGTAACCACATGGGCTAATCACTACTGTATTAGACAGAGTGACTATAGAATCTTTCAAGTTGGGGTGTACCATCATGTTCGACTATTTTAGGAAAGAACAGTCCCTCTTGGGGAGGGGCATCAAGTATACCTGAGACCACCAAGCATCGATGAGACTCCCGGGTACATGGAAAGGAAGGAAATGCGGAATGAGGAACAGCAGAGGCTTAGGTGTAAGCTAGCTCGAGTGGTCACTCAGTAGCCCCAGTTTGTTCCCAGTGTTCTCCAGAGAGCGTCTCAGTTGGGTTCACCACTTAACATCCGCCATGTTCTTTGCCCTCTGCTCCGACGTCCACCTGCCCACATGGTGGAACTTCCCCACTGCCCCTTCCATCCAGGCCTGTCAGAGCACACTGCTGCCCATGCCCCGACATTGTCCCGGGCCCATGGATGTGAGAGGTCCCACTTTGCCACAGAGCTGTGGGCCAGAGTGTGCCAGGGACTCTGGAAGCGAACCTCACCTTCTGGCAAACCCCTTTTGAATCCAAAGCCCTTTCATGGGACCAGAGAGAGACCAGTGGCCACACCACCCCTTTCTCCAAGGTTCCAGCCTCAATCCTCACAGAGTAGCCCAGGCTGCCCCAAATGCCACTGTCCCCACCCCGCCCCCACATCTCCATAACAACATGGTTACCCCTATAGGTTTTTTAAAAATTAATGAGGGAAGGGGTTCCCATCATCCCCACCCCCCTCAGAGCTGCTATTCTCAAAGATAAATTCAAGCCTCTTCCTTATGTAAAAAGAGATGGTGCTCAAAATGTTGAAAGCACCTTTTTTTCCCCCAGATTCTACCCTCCTATCAACAGTCCAGAGATGTCACCGCCAACTTTTTTCTTAGTGTCGAGCTCAGAATTCCACGTGCTTCTCCTCTCCCTAGCAGTGTTTTCCAAGAGATACCTGCCCCCTGAAATTACCTTGCAACCAACACGGGGACATTTATAAATCTTCATACAATAATAGAAACTAACATTCATGCCACACCTGCTCCGTACCATCCATCCCTGCACTGGATGCTCTCCGCCCAGCACCTCCCTTCTCCTCACGCCAAGCCTGCGAAGGAGGTTCCGCCGTCTCGCATTTCCCAGCCCGACCTCGGAGGCTCAGGGTGGTTATGCCACCGGCTGGAGGTCACACAGCTGGAGCCGACTCCGAACCACACGACTGTGTTCTCTTACCGTTCTGAAGGTCAGAAGTCCAGAACCAGTCTCCCTGGGCTGAAGACGTTGGCGAGGCTGGTTTCCTCTGGAAGCTCTGAGGGGAGGAATCCCGGCCTTTTTTGGTGTAGTGGGCCCCTGTATTTCTGGACTTGTGGCTTCTTCCTCCATCTCCCGCGTACCCCAGTGCCACCCCAGTCCCCTTCTCCTTTCTGTCTTCAAATACCCCTCTGCTTCTTCCTTACAGGACCCCTTGTAATTTAAACATTTAGGGCCCACCTAGATAATCCAGAAAAATCTTCCCATCTCAAGACCTTTAACTGAATCACATCTTGCAAAGTCCCTTTTGCCATGTAAGGACCCTGGGATTAGGGCAGGGACATTTGAGGGTGGAGGGCATTATTCAGCTTACCACAGTCATGGTGGCCTGGTTTCTGGTTTCAGCTGGGGCTGGATCCAGGGGATCAAATACTGGGATCAGGGCTTCATCCCTGTCTCCAGCTCTCAGATCTGCTTTTCTCCAGGCTTAATCCCACCATGTGGCAGCCACAGTGAAGGAGAGGCCCCTTCCCCAAGGTCTCAGCCCAAGTCCCAGGGCCGGCTCTCCCTGGTCCAGTTTAGACTACATGCTCATCTTTGACACAGTCACCGAGGCCGGGTCTCTCCGCTTGGTCAAGCCTGGGTCATGTGCCCTCCCCTCTTTCTTAGCTCACATGTGCTAGGGTGTTTCCCCGAAGGGAACGGAGAGATCTGTGAGTGGTGGAAAGCAGCATGGCTCTGGAGTCTGTCGGATGGCAAGCATTATACATTATACAGTATACTCAGTGCCCGATCAATGCTGACCGCAGAGCATGGGACACAGAGGAGGGCTGGGGGCGGGGGTACCTCCAGAAGTGAATGTTGATGAATACAAGGTTCACTAAGCGGATGAAGGCAGCAGAGCCTTCCGAGCAGAGAACGTAACTTGATTAAGGCAAAGGCCTCGGCCGTGGGGCCAGGGTGACTGTATGTCCTCACATACTCAGGGGCGGAGGGGGGTGGTCCTGTTCTGCGCCTGTCCTCCTAATGTAATCTTAACAGCAGCCCCCTTTACTTGCAAAACAATCTGGGTTTGCATGATAAATCATATGGTCTCTCCCCCTTAACAGCCAACCTCATTTATAAGGGTACCGAAGGCAGAAGAAGGGATGAGACTTAATGGGAGGTCACTAACCTTTAGTGGCAAAGCTCACGCTAGAATTCAGAACTCCTGCCTCCCAGGGCAGCGCTCAGCTTATGAAACCAACTCTCTGAGAGACCACATCAGATTAACCGGTCATGGGGCGCCTGGGTGGCTCAGTCGGTTAGGAGGCTGCCTTCAGCTCAGGTCTTGATCCCAGGATCCAGGGATCGAGTCCCATGTCGGGCTCCCTGCTCAGCAGGGAGCCTGCTTCTCCCTCTGCCTGCCGCTCCCCCTGCTTGTGCTGTCTTTTTCTCTGACAAATAAATAAGTAAAATCTTTAGGAAAAAAAAAAAAAAAAAAGGATTAACCAGTCTTCCTTCTCCCTCCTTTTCTCTTCTTACCACATTCTCCACAGGATTGTGACCAGATCCACGTTGACGATGTCTCCTCCGATGACAATGGGCAGGACCTAAGGTAGGAGTTTGGGGAGCCAGAACTGCCCCTTTTGATTGGTTATTGAGCTTGCCTTTCACCAGGAGCAGAGAGGAGGGGCGGGCTGGGTTATCAGGATGAGTGCCCCTGCCTGGGTCAGAACCCAGGGTCGCAGCCCCGGCCGCCACCCTGCAGCCTCCTCAGCATCACCTCCAATCACAAAGGCTGAGATTTTCACAGACTCTCTGTGACTCTCCTTATGTTTATCTCTCAATGGTTTCCTGTCTGCTTCCCAAAGTAATGCGTGCATATTGTAAAAAATTCATACGCCACTTCTAACCTTGCCTCCCAGAATCACCATCACGAAGAGTTCGGCACCCCTTCTTCAAAGGTTTGATTGCTTCGTTAGCATACCTATATTATTTAATATGAATATTGATACAGTCGATACTCAAAAAGATATTTCTTGACTGAGTAAGCGGTATGTCTAGTTTCTAGGGGACAACACTCTTAGGACATGGATTCCCGAAATAAGGTACCCAACTGCTCAAAACGAGACAGCTTTCCAAGGAATGTGGCTGGAATGTTCCAAGCCTGCCCCTGAGAAAACCTTATAAAAATGGAACCAGAGTTAATCTGTGCTTATCCAAAATTATCCCAGCCCAGTGCCTCTTGGCCCATCAAAAATATTATTAGACTGCATGATGTTTTGCTTATGGGACCAGTAACTTCACCTAGTGTTTGCTTCCTCGATGTGTCTTCCACCTTACTCCAAAAAAAGAAGTCAAAGCTTCTGTCGCTGGGCCCTGGAAGTCTTTTCAAAGGCCAGCACAACTAGAAGTGATAGGCAGGCGCCTGCTTCATATTAATTAGCCATTCTGAAAATCCCTCGCAGTCAGGACTGGCAAGGAGCAAGGCTCTGGTGCCAGCCAGGGCTTCTCCATTTATGGAGTAAATAAACCCCAGATCAAGGTTAATTGTGTCCTTTCCATGACATCATGGCTGGGAGCCGCTCTTCCCCTCACGGCAATGAGCAACCAGGGTTCCACTTTTATAACGTTTCCCCTGTAGCTGGCTGGCATGGGACTGAGAGCAGGTTCCTCTGAAGGCCGTCTCATGCTGAGCTGTTTGGGACATCACTTCCAGAACCCACAATCCGAGGATGGTTTTCCCCACAGACACCAAATTCTCCATGTATTCATTCAAGCAATCTCTTTTGAGTCCCTACTGTGTGCCAGGCACCAAGCATCAAATGTACCTTCTTTGGTTTTTTTCAGTTCACTGCAGAAACCAACCTTGGTAATGCCCTTATTTTGCACACGCCCTGTCCCAGACACCTTACGTGCATTAACTCCCTCATCTTCACAGTTACCCTAAGGAACAACACCTGCTTTTCTCATCATCCCCATTTTACAGGTGGGGAATGGGAGGCACAGAGAGGTTAAGTAACCTGCCGAACCTCACACAGCCAGTAGGTGGGGGAGGTAGGATTCATGGATGTCCTTCCCTGCCCTCCTGTTCTCTTGGCAGAACATCTGGCCACCTCCCCCAGGGTGTCCTCGGAGTTTTTAGTATGTGTTCTTTTTCAAGAATCAATTTTCTGGCCTTTCCACACTACTCCAAGAGGGGCCCAGAAGGCGTAGTCCTGGGTTCCCGTTGCAACTTAAAGGAAACTTCCACCATGTCTGGAGCCCTTGATGTCCTGCCACTGAAGCAGGAGGATGTCTTCAAATTCCTTGCAGCAGGAACTCACGTAGGTGGCACCAACCTTGACTTCCACACGGAACCGTACATGCACAGAGGGAACAGTGTTGGCGCAAACATAAATCTGAAGAGGACATGGGAGAAGCTCTGCTGGCAGCTCGTCACGCGGTTGCCATTGAAGACCCGGCTGACGCCCAGGTCCTAGCCTCTGGGAATCCTGGCCGGCGAGCTGTGCTGCTGCTGTCTGGGGGCCAGTCCGGTGGCCACCCCCGCTCCTGGAACCTTCACCAACCAGATCCACGCAGCCTTCCGGGAGCCACGACCTCCGGTAGCTGCTGTCCCCAGGGCTGACCGCCGACCAGCAGAGGCGCTACTCTGCCTACCGTAGCTGTGTCACAGACGCTCCCCTGTGCCACGTGGACCCTGCCACCCCATCCGGCAGCAAGGGGGCTCACAGGGCGAGTCCGGTGTGGCGGGTCCGAGCCCTGGAAGTCCTGCACATCTGTGGCACCATCCCCTATGAGCACCCACGGGAGGCCTCACCAAATCTTGGCTTCTGCAGAGACTTCTGAAGAGACTAAGAAGGAAGAGCAGGCCACTGCTGCAAAGGCCATGACCCAGGAGGAATCGCAGGGTGAATGGACTATTCTGGCTCCCGAGCTCACTGCTGCTCAACACGAGGCTGCAGACGAGTCAGGAGGCACACCGGAGTCTACGTTCGAAGCCTTGAGGATCAAGTCGCGTGGGCCAGTGTCCTGGCTTGCATGCCCCAGGGAGCCCCCGAGGTGCAATTAGCTCTTGAGTCGGAGACATTCGCCCCAGGTGTTCCTGTGGCTCCCGCAGAGTTTTTGTTATCACAACCAAAGCCTCTTCCCTGGGAAGAGTTTTCTATCCAAGAGTAAGGCCTGGCCTCTGCTCGAGTAAGGCTGAGCCCCAGACACAGAATGGAGGGTGACAGCCGCATGTCCCATCACGCTGTGTTCAGGTGCCGCACAGGGAGCATGACCTAGCACCTTGCACTTTCCAAATGCCCTTTGACCTCTGCAGCAGCAGGGGCCCTGAAGTACGGGGAGGTACGTGAGATACGGCTTCCAAGTGTTGCTACATTCCTGCTGCACCGCATCTTTGTAAAAAATGTCTTTCTGTTTCCACTCTTCAGCTTATCCTAGAACATCTAGAAAGTGCAAAACAGTGCAAAGAGGGAAAAAATCAGCCAAACTCACACCCTGAGACAGCCATAGAACCATATTGACCTGTTTCCTTCTGCTCTTTTCTAGGAAGAGACTCATGGGGGGAGGGGGGGGAGGGGGCGGCACAGAGGAAGAGAGAGAATCTCAAACAGGCTGCACGCCCGGTACAGAGCCCCACACGAGGCTCCATCTCATGACCCTGAGATCACGACCTGAACCAAAATCAAGAGTCTGACGCTGAACCAACAGCCACCCAGGTGCCCCTAGGAAGAGACTCATTTTTAAAGCTTTGGGTCATACTATACACATATCCCTTGTCACGCTCTGGTTTTCCCCTTCCGACGGTGATTTTGCAAACCTCCAGCAAAGCTTCTGGCGGAGGGAAGGAAGATGGGGGGGCGGTCTCTGGCGCGTTGGGGTTTTCATTCTCACGTGCTGGTTGCTGTAGGCGGCGAGTCGCCCACACTCTCCTGTTCGGGTTCTCAGCTGCCACATCTGCCGTCAGCTTTGTGGGACACTCTGGCTTCATCCCCAGTCCACACAGAGCACTTCTTAGGCCGACATGCTTCATTCGGAGTGGAGGATTGTATCTGCAAAGCCCCAGCAATCGGCTCTGCCTAATTTAACAAATCAAAAAAGTTATGGTTATTTCTGTGGAAAGATACGGAGATGTCACAGAATGGGAAGAAAGGGTTGGCAGCCAGGCCTTACAGGGAACACGGAGCAGTGCAGATTTGGGGATCGAAGTAGGAGGAACTAACACGTTTTCCTCTGGACTCTTCTGTCAGGATGAACCAGCTGCAACCATTTTGTGGGATTCCCTTCTGGTTTCGAATTCTAAAGGCGGGGCGGGGCTTTTCCTAGCTTGGCCACTGCACGCAGGGGCTTCCTGGCTCTGTGGGGCCTGTGGGTTCCTGGCAAAGAGCCCCCCCCTTGCCCACCGACAGTATCTCTCCCCCTCCCCCCCAGCACGTACAACTTCTCCACTGACGGCTTCCACAGCTCGGCCCCGGGAGCCAACCTGTGCCTGGGCTCCGGCGTCCACGGCGGCGTGGACTGGATGAGGAAGCTGGCCTTCCGCTACCGGCGGGTGAAGGAGATGTACAACACCTACAAGAACAACGTCGGTGGTGAGTGGCCGGTGCCCCCCACGCAGGGGGAGGGGGGAGGGCTGGCTGCCCTGCTCAGGCCGCACCCCAGGCCGAGGCAGGGTCAAGGGTGGCCACGGCCCCTTGCGTGCACGGACACCAGCTTGCTCAGTGCACGCCTCGGGGCGCGCTCTGGAAGGGGCACGAGCATTTCTGTGTCCTCACTTGGGGTGGGTGTGGGGCGGGAGACTGAGGAATAGATGACAGGCTGCCCGGGATCCCACAGCCCACGAGCGGTGGGGCGGGCTTAGGGGCCACCACCCCCCCCCCCGCCGATGGCTACATCAGGTGTGGCCTGAGGAGGCTGGGGTGGCCTCGCCACCTGTGTTACAACACGCCCTCCGGGCGCCTCGGTCACTTGCTGAAGTTGGGGGACCAGTGGCTTCGGTCCCTGCTGCTCCGACAGTGGGCTGCAGACCAGCTGCGTAAGCATCAGCTTTGTTGCCAGACTCTGGGGGCCCCTCCAGGCCACTGGGTCAGATTCTGCGTTTTTAACAAGATTCCCGGTAATCTGTGGAAACACTGAAGTTGGAGAAGGCCTGGAAGGCGCTGGTTCTCATATTGGAACCACCTGGGGCATTTCCAGCTCTGATGTTCTCGGCCTGGCTGCAGCTGGGGTCGGGATCACAGGGTTCAGGCCCTGATGTGCGGTCAAGGTGAAAGCCGCCGGCTTCGGCAGCCAGAGAGCATCGGTCGTGGCACTGGATGAGAAGTCTGGAAGGGCCTATGGGCCAGGCTTGCTCTGCAATGCCAGGCCCTAGATCGCTTTTCTGGAATTCTCTGGGCCAGCGGTTCTTAACAGGAGGTGATACTGCTTCTCCCCCAGGAGGCATTTGGGGGTGTTTTGATTGTCACAATGCATGGAACCAGTTACAGGCCCACAAAGGGAAAAGGTCTGAGTAGGCAGCTGGTAGTGTCTGCCATATGCCCCTTGGCCCCCAAAGCTTCTAGGGCTCCCTCCTCCTGCCCCAGAAAGAGTAGAGTCCCAGGAAGAATCTCGGGTCTCAAACTGGACAGAACCTACTTCCAGTCCCAATGCCTCCACTTTCTGGCTACCTCCCTGAGCCTCAGCGTCTAAATCTGTGAAATGGGGATAAAAACAATTGTCTCCCTGGGTTATGGAAAGGTTTGTTGTTAATAGGCACAGAAGTCATGACTCTGTGCCTGAGGCAGCGGCTCAGCAAATGGTCGCATTTGTCACTGGCTCCTTTCAGTTTTGCTTGGGAGTCTTTCAGGTTCTTCTGTGTCTCCAGTCCGTGGCTGCGACCCTACACAGTCCTGACCGTAGCTAATGTTTACTGAGCACTCACTGTAGGCCGGGCTCTGTTAGGAGGGCTTTTCACCTACTGTCTTATTTGCTCTTTACCACAGCCCTGTGAGGTAAGTGTGCTATAAAGGTGGAAACTGAGATCAGAGACGTTAAGTAACCTGGCCAGCATCACACAGCCCAGGTGGCAGAGCCACCACAGTGGAACCCAAGGCCGGTGGCTTCGCCACCACTGCCCACACTCGGTAGCCTCTCACACCCAAGTCTGTGGACGTGGAGCAAGGAGAGGAGCAGGTGCGCTTGGAGTAGAGGAGACAGGGATGGAGGCGGCCAGCAGGGGCCACCTGCTCCTCATCCAGGTTAAGCCCCAGGAAGCACCCGGGGCTCCTGTCAGGCTGCTCTGCTCTCCCCTGAGCTGAGGGGGGATTGTGCAGTGGGTCAACAGGTGAGGGAAGCCTGCAGGTGGCAGGACTCCGCGGGCGGCCCCCCCAGCTCTTTCTGCATCATAGAACTGGCGTGGTGAGGACCCCAGCCTCCAACCCCAGGGGTCACCAACACCCCAGGATCCTGAGGGTTTGGGAAGTTGTGCTCAGAAGAGAGACATCCACAAGATACAGGGTGAAAATGGGAAAGGCTTAACAAGTCAACATCGGGAGGCAGGACTGGGTTCAGAGGCCTTGTGCCTGATATCACACCTCCCTCTACCATGTCCTGTTATAACCCTTGAACAGGTTACTTAACCCCTTCGTGCCTCAGTTTCTTCAGGTGTCAGATGGGAATAATGATGCTGCCCAACTCATAGGATAAATGTCAGGATAATGTGAATTAACACATGGGAGTTGCTGAGAACTGTGCCGCCGTGCAGTGAGCACTTCTTGAGTGTTGCTCTTGTCTGGGGAAGGAGGCCGAGCCTGGGGAAAAGCTGCCGGTAAGGGGCAAGCAGACAGAAGCCTGAAGCATACTTCCTAGTGCAAAGTAGGAGGGGTTGACCAGCTGACTACCCGTGGCAGCACGCGTGGGAAGCCTCTTGTAAACTGTATGGTCCCGTGCCCCTGACAGTTTGTATTGTTATTAAGGGCTGTGGGGAAGGGGCAGAGAGAAGGCAAGCCAGAGACCGCCTGCAGCGTCTTGTCCCAGTGAATTCCTTCTCCCTTGAACAAACACCAAATCGGCACGAGCCGTGCGCCAGTCCCTGCTACAGCACTGCCCAGGGGCTGGTTCCGCGGTGGTAAACAAAACCGGCTCGGTCCCTGCCCTCATGGAGGCAACGGTGTGGTGGCCGAAGCAGACATCGAACACATGATTACACAGATGTGTCTGAAATCATAGTTGTGACAAGTGTGCCAGGAGAAGAGGTGCAGTGTGTTGGGCGAGTGTAAAATAGAGACCTGACCAGGGTAGGCCTTCCAGAAGAAATGACATTGGAAACGGAGTGTAAAGGACTTAGGCAAACAGGGAAAGGAAGATACGAAGAGTGGTCCAGGTTCTGAGATGACGTAGGAACGTACCTGGCGTATCAGGGGACAAAAAGGGGGCCACCAGGGTGGGAATGGAAGGACAGCAAGGCAATGGCAAGAGATGAGGTAAGCAACTGAGCAGGGGCAGGGGCTCTGGAAGCTGAACTTCATCTTAAGGGCCTTGACGGCTGAGAGACTGACAGTCAGCTCTAGAGAGCCCGTGGAGTGGGCTCTGGAGGCCCGCTGCCTGGGTACACCTGTCTCCATACTTCCTGCCGTGAGCAAGTCAGTTGACCTCACTAAGCCTCAGCTTCTCCACCTGACTTCCACAGTGTTAAATGTCAGTTATATCTCAATGTGAAAAAATAGTGTCCACCTCTAGGGGCACTGTGAAAGTGAGTGAAATAAATCCTATTAAAAAGCACAGGCCAAAAAAAAACACAGGCCATACACACAGTAAGCACTCAATAAATGTTAATCGTTTTTATTTTATTCATTTTTTGTCTCCACTGTAACAGTATAAACCCTACAGTCTGCATTTTTTGTTCATCTGTATATGCAGTGCCTATTACAATACTGAGCACACAGAAGGCACTCCCGAATTCTTTGTTGGATGGATGGGCAGAGGGACGGATGGAGGGATGGCTGGGTGGATGAGTGGATCAATCAGTGGATCAATCAATCACAAAATAAGATTAAAATCACTGGATAAAGTTGACCTTGGATATCATCTGATTTGAAATGTCAGGGTACCAGTAGCTAGATTCCCCTTCCCTAACCACCCCCCCGCCAGACCTCTCAAATGATAAATACCACGTCTTTATTTTCCTTGTCCATAGGCTTGATAGGAGCTCCCAAAAGAGAGACTTGGCTACAGCTCAGAGCTGAACTGGAAGCTCTGACCGACCTCTGGCTGACCCACTCTCTCAAGGCGCTTAACCTCATCAATTCCCGGTAGGTGGGAGCCCCTATTTGCCTTCCTGCCCCTGAACTTTTTCCCATTTGAGAGTGGTGGCTCCTCCATTTCCATACTTGAAGAATTGGACTCTCCAAATTCTCACTTGCACACTTTCCAGACATTTGATAAAGCTGAGGAGTCACACAGTACCATGGAAACCTTGTACCACCGCTGAGCAAACAGGTGCTAAGACTTCTCAGGGTCCAGCAGAGCTTTGTATGTAGGTCGGTCTGTCCCATCCACTGTTGCCCACAACACCCGCCAGTCCCAACAAAGCCCTCTGAAAATCATTTTATAGTGGGCCACAGATCATCTGGCAGGCAATTACAGGGTAAGGAGTTTCATTCCAGGCCTCCCAATAAATTGCCTCTTGCTCTTTAACAAGATCATCTGAGCCAGAGGACAAATAACCCCCTGCACTAGCGTCCAAAAATCTTGTGACCCAGCATATAAATGGTTACAAGATGGCAGGCCATGAGCTGGCTCTGTCCTGCGGATGTGTCCTGTTTGATACACACTTTGTCCCAAAGACTGGGAAAGTAATCCATAGCTCCAGATTTCTAGGTTCTGTCAAAATATCAGAACCGGCAGGTGTTCTCCAGTTTACCCCAGTCCTCACCGCTCCCTGTTGCCCTACACCTGATCCATACTACTCATTTACATCCCTGATAGGCAGCTGCAGCTATGTAAGTGTGGGCCCTTGCAAGAAACATTTGTTTTAAATAAGTATTAACACTTTAACACTGTAAGTAATATTACAGGATTGCGTTTCAATGTGCCAGGCAGCCTCAGGCTTAAAAGAGGAACAGCTGAAGGATCTTTGGGCCTCCCCTCACCTGAAGATGACTTAGCCAGAGCTCCAAACCCCACCAGAGCTCCTGCCGACTCCAGGCTCGTGCTGCAGGGTGAGGAGGCCTGGCCCTGGTGTTCTGACCTACAGTCTTCTCTGTCCTCAGGCCCAACTGTGTCAACGTGCTGGTCACTACCACTCAACTAATCCCTGCGTTAGCCAAAGTCTTGCTGTATGGACTGGGCTCCGTGTTTCCTATTGAGAACATCTACAGTGCAACGAAGACAGGTAGGGAGAACCAGACCTCACGGTGATGCAGGGAGGGAGGGTGAGGCTAGCTCTCCATCCCGCATTTGGGAAGCTTAAGGAAAAGGGCACTAAGAAAGCTAAAGAACTTGTCCATGGCCATGACTCAGATCCCCAGAACAATCCCACAAACCACTCGTTCTAACCTCAGCTTCCAGAGAAGGTGGTTAGGACCATCGTTTTCTAAAGTTAGGTTATCTGCAAGGTTGCTATAACACACACCCAAATACAGGACTTACGTCAGAATCCAAACTTATTTCTCTCTCACATGTCAACAGACCGGAGGTGAGTGATTCAGGCTAGTGGGGCAACTCTGTCCTCAAACTCACCCAGGATCCCAGGTCCTTCCCATCTTATTTTTCCACCAGCCCCTGTGGTTTTATTCTCATGTGTGGTTAAATCAGAATCCTGCCACATTATCGTTCCAGCTTATGGGAAGAGGGGAAAGAGTGAGTAATACATGTCAAATGTTTTAAGACCAGGACTCAAATGGGATACCTGGTGCCTCTACTCACCTCCTCTGGGCCCCCGCTTAGTCACATGGCCACGACTAGTGGCAAGGGAGGCTGGGAAACGTAGTCCATAGCTAAGTGCCATGAACACAGGTAAGTCATGGAATTCTATTACTAAGAAGAGGAAAGTAGGGGCACCTGGGTGGCTCAGTTAATTAAGCATCTGCCTTCAGCTCAGGTCGTGATCTCAGGGTCCTGGGATCGAGCCCCACATCGGGTGCCCTGCTCAGTGGGGAGTCTGCTTCCTCCCTCTCCCTCCTGCTCATGCTTTGTCTCTGTGTCTGTCTCTCTGTCTCTATTAAATGAAAAAAGAAAATCTTAAAAAAAAAAAAAAAGAGGAAAATAGTTTCCACCACAGCATAGCACATGAGGTGATTTTTAATTTAGGTGGTACAAGCCGTCAAATAAACTTGAATCCAACCTTGAACCACACAGACAAAAATTTGTTGTGTTTTTTTTTTTTAATTCTCTTTTAAGGAGAGAGTCTCAGTTTAGTGGTATCCTACTTTGACACCTCTCTCACTGCTTGATAATCTTTATTAACGAAGAGAACAAGCCTTAGGCTCAGAGCTTCCATCAGATAAGAGAATTTAATAAGTAAAAATGAACAGCATCATTTATTATCAGGGCAAGTCGTATTGGTTTTCGGAGGAGAGGGGCTGGAGTTTTTTATTCTTATATCACCTAAAACTATATAATAATGTTAAATAAATCTAGTTAGTTAAGATGTTTTTATTTTTTTTAATTTTTATTTATTTTTTTGACAGAGACACAGCGAGAGAGGGAACACAAGCAGGGGGAGTGGGAGAGGGAGAAGCAGGCTTCCCACCGAGCCGGGAGCCCGACGTGGGGCTCAATCCCAGGACCCTGGGATTATGACCTGAGCCGAAGGCAGACGCTTAATGACTGAGCCACCCAGGCACCCCCCCTTTTTTTTTTTAATTTTTATTTAAAATGTTTTTAATTAGAAATTTTTACCCTTGTTTTTTTCCTAGAACCAAAAAAAAAAAAAAAAGTTATGGTATTGTGGAAGCATTTTCCCAGAGTGGTTTTTGCCTTTACTTAAGTTCTAGCTCTGAACATTACAGAAAAGTGCCTTTAGATTTTTAGATTTTAAAATCATAAAATTCAGGCCCCGTCTGGCCATGAGAGCTTCTGCAACAGGACTTGGTGAGCCTATCATTGTCTTTCTGCACACTGTCGTCATGTGACTTCGCAGCTTCTTGAGAACCTTTCTTAAATACTTTTTAATTATGGTAAAATACACGTGACATGAACTTTACCATCCTCACCATTTTTCAGTGTATATTTCAGGGGTATTAGCCCCATTCCCACTGTTGTGCCACCATCCCCACCATCCATCTCCAGAGCTCTTTCCATCTTGTAGAACTGAAGCTGGGTCTGCATTAAACAGGAACTCCCCATTCCTGCCTGCCCCCAGCCCCTGGCAAACACCCTTCTACTTTCTGCCTCTAGGAATGTGACTGCTCTGGGGACCTCGGAGAAGTAGAATCATAGAATATATATTGTCTTTGTGACTGGCTTATTTCATGTAACGTAATGTCCTCAAGGGTCCTATCTGTGATGCAGCCTGTGTCAGAATCCCTCTCCTTTTTAAGGCTGAGTGATACTCCATTTATGTCTGTGCTACATTTCGTTTATCCGTTCATCTGTCCACGGACACTTGGATTGCCTCCCCCTCTTGGCTATTGTAAAACAGTGCTGCGATGAACATGGGTGTACAAATCTCTCTTCAAGACTCTGTTTTCAGTTCTTTGGGATATGTACCCAGTGGTGGAATTGGTGGATCATAGGGTAATTCTACTTTTCATTTTTTTGAGGAACGCCATACTGTTTTCCGTAGCGGCCACACCATTGTGCATTCCCGCCGACAGGGCCCAAGGGTTCCAGTTTCTCCACATCCTCACCAACATCTATTCTATTCTCTCCTCTTTTGATAACTATCCTAATGGGTATGAGGGAACTAGTGTTTTTTTTATTATTATTAACATATAATGTATTAGTTTCAGGGATACAGGGCTGTGATTCATCAGTCTTACACAACACCCAGTGCTCACCACAACACATAGCCTCCCCAATGTCCATCACCCAGCCTCCCCACCCCCTCCACCCCCTCCACTCCAGCAGCCCTCAGTTTGTTTCCTGAGATTAAGAGTCTCTTATGGTTTGTCTCCCTCTCTGGTTTCGTCTTGTTTCATTTTTTCCTCTCTGCCCCTATGATCCTCTGCCTTGTTTCTCAAATTCCACATATCAGTGAGATCATATGATAACTGTCTTTCCCTGATTGACTTATTTCGCTCAGCATAATACTCTCTAGTTCCATCCATGTCATTACAGATGGCAAGATTTCATTTTTTGACGGCTGCATAATATTCCATTGTGTATATATATACCACTTCTTCTTTAATCCATTCATCTGCTGATGGACATCTGGGCTCTTTCCATAGTTTGGCTATTGTGGACATTGCTGCTATAAACATTGGGGTGCACGTACCCCTTCGGATCCCTACATTTGTATCTTTGGGGTAAATACCCGCTAGTGCAATTGCTGGGCCATAGGGTAGCTCTATTTTCAGCTTTTTGAGGAACCTCCATACTGTTTTCCAGAGGGGTTGCACCAGCTTGCATTCCCACCAATGGTGTAGGAGGGTTCCCCCTTCCCTGCATCCTCGCCAACATCTGTCGTTTCCTGACTTGTTAATTTTAGCCATTCTGACTGGTGTGAGGTGGTATCTCATTGAGGTTTTGATTTCTATTTCCCTGATGCCGAGCAATGTTGAGCACTTTTTCATGTGTCTGTTGGCCATTTGGATGTCTTTTTTGCAGAAATGTCTGTTCATGTCTTCTGCCCATTTCTTGATTGGATTATTTGTTCCTTGGGTGTTGAGTTTGATAAGTCCCTTATAGATTTTGGATACTAGCTCTCTCTCTGATATGTCATTTGCAAATATCTTCTCCCATTCTGTCAGTTGTCTTTGGTTTTGTTGACTGTTTCCTTTGCTGTGCAGAAGCTTTTTATCTTGATGAAGTTCCAATAGTTCATTTTCCCCCTTGCTTCCCTTGCCTTTGGTGATGTATCTAGGGAGAAGTTGCTGCGGCTGAGGTTGAAGAGGTTGCTGTCTGTGTTCTTCTCCTGAAAGATTTTGATGGATTTCTGTCTCACATTTAGGTCTTTCATCTATTTTGAGTCTATTTTTGGGTGTGGTGTAAGGAAATGGTCCAGTTTCATTATTCTGCATGTGGCTGTCCAATTTTCCCAACACCATCTGTTGACGAGACTGTCTTTTTTCCATTGGATATTCTTTCCTGCTTTGTTGAAGATTAGCTGACCCATGGAGTTGAGAGCCCACTTCTGAGTTCTCTGTTCTGTTCCACTGATCTATGTGTCTGTTTTTGTGCCAGTACCACACTGTCTTGACGATTACAGCTTTGTAGTAGAGCTGGAAGTCCAGAATTGTGATGCCACCAGCTTTGGTTTTCTTTTTCAACATTCCTCTGGCTATTCGGGGTCTTTTCTTGTTCCACACAAATTTTAGGATTATTTGTTCCATTTCTGTGAAAAAAGTTGATGATATTTTGATAGAGATTACATTAAATGTGTAGATTGCTCTAGGTAGCATAGCCATTTTAACAATATTTGTTCTTCCAATCCATGAGCATGGAACATTTTTCCATTTCTTTGTGTCTTCCTCAATTTCTTTCATGAGTCTTCTATAGTTTACTGAGAACAGATTCTTTACCTCTTTGGTTAGATTTATTCCTAGGTATCTTATGGTTTTGGGTAGAACTGTAAATGGGATTGACCCCTTAATTTCTCTTCTGTCTTGTTGGTGTATAGAAGTGCAGCTGATTTCTGTGCACTGATTTTATATCCTGCCACTTCACTGAATTCCTGTATGAGTTCTAGCAGTTTTGGGGTGGCGTCTTTGGGTTTTCCACATAAAGTGTCATGTCATCTGCAAAGAGTGAGAGTTTGACCTCTTCTTTGCCGATTTGGAGGCCTTTTCTTTTTGTTGTCTGATTGCTGTGGCTAGGACTTCTAATACTATGTTGAATAACAGTGGTGATAGTGGACATCCCTGCCGCGTTCCTGACCTTAGGGGAAAAGCTCTCAGTTTTTCCCCATGTAGGATGATATTCGCTGTGGGCTTTTCATAGATGGCTTTTATGATATTGAGGTATGTGCCCTCTATCCCTATACTCTGAAGAGTTTTAATCAAGAAAGGATGCTGTACTTTGTCAAATGCTTTTTCTGCATCTATTGAGGGGATCATATGGCTCTTGTCCTTTCTTTTATTAATGTATTGTATCACATTGATTGATGTGTGGAAGTTGAACCAACCTTGCAGCCCAGGGATAAATCCCACTTGGTCGTGGTGAATAATCCTTTTAATGTACTGTTGGATCCTATTGGCTAGTATTTTGGTGAGAATCTCTGCATCCATGTTC